CAACAATATTGCAATTTTTTTTGCACTACAGTTCTAAAAAAAAACAAATATTTACGATTATGAATATCAATTCCTGGAATCTCATGATTTGACTTCCCCTTTTCTGGTTGTATGGAAAATGCCAAAACAAGGCTGGGGTGAGCTATTTTCCCTAGGCATCCTCCTAGTTTGGCTACCTCCAGCAAGCTAGCTGCCTCCCTGTGATGGGAGGTCATCATTGACAACTGCTAAATCAACCCAAATTGGGGCTGTAAGAGTTAAATTGGCAGCCCATCTCTATGGAAACAATCCCACCCACCCCTAGGAGACACCTCCATTGTTAGGAATGGACAGCCATTCAGACACGGTTCCTTCCCATCCCTCCCACTCACCATCTTAAAGTCCATCGCCTGATAGTTTTCTCTTTCCTAGGAGCTGACCTGTCTGAGGTCTTTCAAGTTCTGAAAACAGTCGCTAGGGTAGACGTAGAGAAGACGTTTCCACTTCGGGGAATTCCAGAACGGAGGATCATAAGTAAAAGATAATCACTAATAAATCCAAAGGGCTTTCAGGAGAAACGTCTCCTGACAGTGGTCAGGAACTCACTACTAGAGGGAATGGTTGAGGTTAATAGTGCAAAATTATTTCAGAGGAAGCTGGATGAATACCTGACAAAAAAAAGGATGGGAGGAGATGCTGTTGGGGTGAGATGAAGTGGAGGCTAGTATAGAGCATACATGATGGCACAGACCAGGCGGGCTGAATAGCCTTCTGTGCTGTAGTTTTTTAAATAAAGAACAACCCCAGTTTCTTCACAGAAATGAAGCCCCTCATCCCTCAAATCATTCTCATTAATTGTCTCTGCACCCTCTCCAAAGCCTTATCATTCTTCCTAAAGACTGGTGTCTAGAATTGGATGCAAAACTCCAGCTACTAACTGATAGTATTTTTCCCTCAGCACCGTATGTTCACTCAGGCTTGCACAGACTATTTTCAAGCAGCTGATTTCACATAAGAACATAAGAGCTAAGAGCAGGAGTAGGCATTTCAGCCCCTCGAGCCTTCTCTGCCATTTAATATGATCATGGATGATCTCATCCCGGCCTCAACTCCACTTTCCTGCCTGTTCTCCATAGCCCTTCAACGCATTAATAATTAAAAGTCTGTCTGTCTCCTCGTTAAATTTACTCATGTCCCAGTACCCACCACACTCTGGGATGGTGAGTTCCACAAATTCACAACTATCGAGAGAAGTAATTTCTCCTCATCTGATTTAAATCTGCTACTCCTTATCCTAAAACCTCTTATTCTGGATTGCCTCATTTCAGGAAAACACCCCTTTCTACATCTACTATGTCAATCCCCTTTAGCATTTCCTATATCTCAATTAGATTTTCTCTGATTCTTTGAAAGTCTGGGCAGTGTAGACCTAAACTGCTCAATCTCTGTTCATTAGCCAAACTCCTCGTCTCTGACAACCAAACAACTGACACGGAAAAATTTCTGGAGAAAGTGGAAGTGGCAATGAATATTTGACGACTGTAGAATTCACAGAAGATTACTGGCATGTGCATCTTAGTACAAAGGCCAAATTACAGTGTGCATCTGCTAAACCCTCAGAATCATTACAAATTCACTGTCGTGCTGTTTGGAATGAAAAATGGAGCTGCCACGTTCTACCAGCTGTTTGCTGCAATGTTGGTGGGGGTCTGGATTCTGTCCTAGCAGATGCCAATGCAATGTCTGAAAGAGGGATTCTTCATTAACGCCTCCACCATGTTAACTGCTTAGGTGGAGCAGATTAACAATGAAGACTAAAAAAAACTAATAGCTGCACCATAGAATCCCTACAGTACAGAAAGAGACTGTCCAGCCCATCGAGTCTGAGGTGACCCTCTGCAGAGCATCCCACACAGAACCAGCCCTCCTACCTTATCCCTGTAACCCCACATTTACCATGGCTAATCCACCGAGCCTAGAAATCTATGGATGCGACAGCTGTCTTAGTATGGCCAATAATGCCCACATTGTCGAGGGATGTGCAGGTTAGGTGGATTAGCCATGGGAAATGCAGGGTTACAGGGATAGGGGAGGGGGATGGGTCTGGGTGGCATGCTCATCAGAGGGTTAGTGTGGACTCGATGGGCTGAATGGCCTGCTTCCACACTGTAGGGATTCTATGATTCTAGTTTATATAATCTCTCCTCACAATCTAACCCTCTGAACCCTGATAACATTCTGTTGAATCTCTCTCATTCCGAGATGTGGGTTGTACAAAATGTTCTAAATGTTGTCCCATCAGGTCTTTGTAAAGCTGCAGTTAAATGTTCTTCCCTTTATTTTCTTGTTGTCTCATTATACCATTCTTTAGACCTTTTGCACCTGGTGACACCCTAAAGCTGCCTAAGCTCTGGAATGCCATGCTTAAATATTTCTTTACAATCCTCCTTTAAGACAATCTCCCACTTTGATCTAGCTTTCTGTTTTTCCAGCAAGGTTTGGACTATTCTTTCTCAGTTTTCTAGTGAGGGTGGTGAAACTAAAGCATTGAGGATTACAGAAAGGATTTGAGAGAAGAAACATTGAGTAATCATGACTTATTTTAAAGTAAGAGAAATAAGGTGCCACCATACGAGACTGAACATGGTGAAGGTGTACAAAGCAGAGAGTTGTAATCAACAGAATGGCAGGATTTAACAGCCCTGCAGAGAGATACAGAGGAAATGTGATTTGCGAGAGTAGGGTGCTAATGAATGGTTTGGAGAGTTTTTAAGATTCCTACAATTGAAGTCTGTTTCTATGCAACGCTCAAAGAGTGAGAGGCAAGTAGCAGAAACAGGAACAATGAGAGAAATTTCAAAATAATCAGTATAAGGTGGATCAGTCACTTCAATCAGGTTATGCAAATTGCATGTGTATGTATGTAAGTCCAATTTATTTTCTCTCTGCCTACCATTCCTGATATTTTCAGCTGCTCTGTTCACCTCTCCAGGATAGAAGGATATGTTTGTTCTTATCCAGAAGGCTAGCTGGTGAAAGACAGCACTGGAGGCACACTTCACACACTGCTTAGTTTATTTACAGATATGAACGTTTACAAGCATTCCCTTCTTAGCTCAACGACAGTTTTAGTCTGTCGTCTGTTTCCAGAGGGTAAAGTGAATCCCCAGTTAATGCCTGCAACCTCCATAGATTTAATATACAATTACCAATTTGTTCTACCTTAAGAAAGAAATCTCCATCTGCCGCTACATTATGGCCATTCACTGAACTGGGTTTCAAAAGAGGATTGTCAAATGGTCACTTCCACAATCAGGTGCTGCTAGAGGGAGATATCACTAATCAGTGGCTCATTTGGAAACATTGTGAAAACAAATTAAAATGAATGAATAGGAAATTGAAAGACAGGTCTTCCTCATTTCCACAGGTAGCATCGAATAATGGAATCATTCTCAGTATTGCCTGACGTGTTCGTACAATTACGTTGCGTTGATTTATTTCTTTCAACAAGTTCGAGATTCTGCAAGAAATTTCTCAGGTGAAATTTAACTGTCATAATCTGAAAATGCCCACATGACAAGTTGTGTTGTGAGGAGAGGTGGAACTAGTGACCATCTGTGTAAGATAGACACCAATAAACCCAACTGGTAATTCAGGAGAATTTTTTAAATATACTTTCATTTTTTGGGATGTGGGCATCACTGTCTGGCCAGCATCTATTGCCTGTCCCTATTTGCCCTTGAGACGGTGGTGGTGAGCTGCCTTCTTGAACTGCTGCAGTCTATTATTTTATCCAGAGAGTAGTGAGAACCTGGAAATCATCAGCACAGGGAATGGTTGAGGTGAGTAATATGAATACATTTAAGACCTAAGTAGATAAACACATCAAGGAAAAAGAAATGGAAGGATATGCTAATAAGGTGAAGTGAAGAGGGTGGGAGGAAACTCATTTGGAGCATAAACAGCTTCACAAATTAGTAAGGCTGAGTCAACAAGGTGCAGGGCTGGATGAACACAGCAGGCCAAGCAGCATCATAGGAGCAGGCTGAGTGATCTGTTTCTTTGCAGTAATATCAGGATAATTCTTTTAAATTCTGGTGGCTTTTTAGAAGTGACACTGAAATTTCAAAAATTTATCGTTAGTTTATTAAGAATGCTTGTACCTGAATCGCTGGCAAGGTCAGTAAGCAGAGGGCACAGATTTAAGCTAAAGATATAAGAGATGAGATGGAATCTATTTTACATAGGAAGTTGTTATGGTTTGGAATGTGGTGCCTGAAAGGGCAGGAGAGGCAAAATAAGTAGCAAAGTTTAAAGATGAATACATCAAAACAAGGAAAGTTTGCAAGGCAATGGGGAAAGAGCTGGGAAAGTGGGACTATTTGCAACTTTCAAACAGCTAGCACAATGGGCTAAATGACCTCCTTCTGTGCTACATAATTCTATTCATCACAATCACATTTCGATCAAGGTAAGATCTATGCCCAGCAAGAAGCTTGTTTCATGGCTCAGCAAATGCACAAGAGATGTAGTGAGTTGCTCCCAATGACGAGATGGGCTTCAGCAAACCACAAATCTCCCCATCGCCCATGGAGCTCAGATCCCTTTTAGATTCTGCCACAAATCTCTCTTATAGATATTTTGTTCCATTGTACCAGTTCTAATATCTGAGGAATGTAATGTTTATTTTACTCCCAGAAATTCTTAGACGTGACTCAAATCCTCCGCTTCCAGTCACCTCCTTCAACTCCAGCAGCCCTTACACAATTAACACTGTAACTCCCAGAGCAGAAACTATATGAAATCAGATTCTCAGTCACTGGAGAATTACCATGTGGCTTGTCTCAAATTATTGACATGCTTCAGCCTTCAGACTTTTCTTATCGAATGTCTGTAATTGTTAGTGACATTACAAGAACTACTCTGAGTTTGTTAAATTTAGTCTGATCCAGGGCCCTGTCCAATACCTGAAATTACATGCATGACCCAGAGGATTAGAAACATAGAAAGAAAGTAATTACCAGTGCAGATGACACCTTCATGCTTGTCACATTCTCGATCATCACATTCGCAGAGCTGACCCGAGATGTACCATTGCTGGGGAGAACCACACATACACTTCCCACAATGGCAGGAACCTGGAAAATATTTGTCCTGTCAAATTTATGATTTGAAAAAAAAACAGCAATGCTTAGTTAAATATTACTAACAACAGGTAAAGACCAGCACCCACTGAGAATTGATGTTCCACTCACATAGTTGCCAAGGTATATAATTTGCTGCGCTGATGTGCAATTGATAGAGTGTTTTGATACATTAAGCAGAAACTACCACTGGCAAAAGAGCAGTAAGCAGAGGATGCCAGATGAGATAATGAACAAATGAACCAGTTATGAGTTGGAAATTGATGCCCTAAAGGATTGTGAGACTAAGTTCAACAATAACTTTCACAATAAAGCAAATTCAACAATATCAGAAGTGTATAAATATTTGAAAAGAAAATTGTTGCACGATTGGGAAAGAACAGCAGAGTTGGACTAATTGGATAGTACTACTGCACAACCAGGAAAAACAGTTACCACCTTCAATCCCCCACAAAATGCATATGAAATAACATTAAGTTGACCCTTAGGATCAAACTGATGGCTTAGAAAGTCTACGTTCTCAGAGAACACCTTGTTTTATGACTGTGAAACATGGTCAACTTATGGCTACCAGAAAAAGAAGCTCAATAATTTCCATCTTTGCTATCTGCTGTAAAGTATACATGTACCCTGGTAGAATGTGGCATAACAAATGTGGCAATCTTCTCAAAGGCAGAGCTGCCAAGTTTGGTCAAACAAAGGATCTGTTCTAGATCCTCTTCTAATTGTGATTTTTGTAAATGATTTAGATGAAGGAGTGAAAGGATGGATTAGTAAGCTCGCGGACGATACGAAGGTGGGTTGAGTTGTGGACAGCGCAGAGGACTGTTCTAGGTTACAAAGGGACATTGATAGGATGCAGAGCTGGGCTGAAAAATGGCAGATGGAGTTTAACCCTGAAAAGTGTGAGGTGATTCATTTTGGAAGGACAAACTTGAAAGCAGAATACAGGGTTAACGGAAAGATTCTTGGCAGTATGGAGGAGCAGAGGGATCTTGGGGTTCATGTCCACAGTTCCCTGAAAGCTGCCACCCAGGTGGATAGAGTTGTTAAGAAGGTGTATGGTGTGTTAGCTTTCATTAATAGAGGGATTGAGTTCAAGAGCCGTGAAGTTATGCTCCAGCTATACGAAAGCCTGGTTCGGCCACATCTGGAGTATTGTGTCCAGTTCTGGTTGCCTCATTACAGGAAAGATGTGGAAGCGTTGGAAAAGGTGCAGAGGAGATTTACAAGGATGTTGCCTGGAATGGAGGGAAGGTCTTACGAGGAAAGGTTGAGAGAGCTAGGGCTTTTCTCTTTAGAATGACAAAGGATGAGAGATGACTTGATAAAAGTGTACCAAATGATCAGAGGTATAGATAGAGACTTTTGCCTCGGGTGGAGGTAGCTATTACGAAGGGGCATAGTTTTAAAATGAGTAGAGGTAGATATAGGGGAGATGTCAGAGGTAGGTTCTTTACTCAGAGCGTGGTCGGGGCGTGGAATGCATTGCCGGAAAGGGTAGTGGAGTCTGCCTCATTAGGGACATTTAAGTGGCTATTAGATAGGCATATGGATGATAGTATAAGGTAGGGGTGGACGTTAGATAGACCTGAGGATTAGGGTAAAAGTTCGCACAACATCGTGGGCCGAAGGGCCTGTACTGTTCTATGTTCTATGTTCTATGTTCTATGTTAAAGGCCACTTCTATGGATTGGGCATATCCACAGAATGGAAGACGGTCAATGCCTCTCTAGATATTGAGGTAGATGGAGCTGCAGTAGCAGTGGGGCACCCAATGCTCCACTTTAAGGATGTCAACAAGTGTGATAGGAAGGCCCAAAGTATCAAAACATCGCACATGGAAATCACTGGCTGGAGAAAGGAGAAAATGGCAACACCTCTCCTGTTGGTTTGTACATGCTATCATGTACACAGCATGGCAACAGTTCCCAACATCAAAAGCAACAACCTGCAACTATACTTGGCAGCTTCATTTGTGGCAAAACCTTCAGGTTTGGTCTCTTCAGCCATCAGCACCGCATGAAGCACCTCCACTTAAATTTGTTGCATGTTCATCATCTCTCATTGATCAACAGGACAACAACGACATAGCTACTACAGGCCAAATGGGCATTCCTTTGTGCCATGCCATTCAACATTAAAAATAAGAACTAACGTAAGAGATAAGTAACAATTTCAGGAATCATGTGGAGTGTCCCCACCCTTTCTGGAACAGATTGTTCCGTTGAATGATTCACACAGACTCCTGCTTCTCTCTTCCGGCATGTTGCAAGTCCTCGGATGCTGGCAGTATTTCCCAAACCAGTTGTCATTGCAGATACATCGACCACATGAGCAGATGCCATTGCCTGTTGCGTGAGTAAACACAGAATGACCAAGTATTAAACGCAAATTGTACTCTCACTTAATAAATTTAGACATAGCTGTGCAAATTAATTTCAAACCAACAAGCATCCATTAAAGACTAAACCTTTGAGTAATATTTGAAAAATTTCCAATTTCCTTGAAGTTCTTCAAATTGGTTTCTTTATTGACTTATGGATCATCAGACACGTTTATAATCAGTGGTTCTATCTATCTGGGACCCTTTCATATTGTTTAATCAAAGTCTGAATGAAGCTTTAATAAATTCAGTCACCTCACTATTGCTAGCTTTGGTTATTGATTACAGGTCTCTGCAGTTCAAAATGTTTGGACTTGTTCAATTACACTTTCACAACACACATAGTGACGAGGGAAACATGGGTGAAATATTATTTGTTACAAGATCAAATGTATCACAGATTAGTGATGCAGAGAACTTTAGTCTGAGCTGTAATTGGATCTGTTAAGCAATCAATGAAATGTTTTTCACGAGACGATGATCCTCTCACTTTACTGAGGTTGGATGCAAGGACCTACAATTGATCAAAAAAAGCATAAAGTGTTTTTCAGCTTCAAACTGCTAAGTTGCTTCAAATAATTATTCAAAAATAATTAAAATGAACAAAGAAGGCAATGACTATTTTGCAATCAATCGCAAAATAATTTGGTGCTGTGTTAAAAAAAATTACTCACTTAACAGCACAAGGTACCTTTGCCCTCTCCTTAGATCAATTTCTAAATATTTCAAACCCTGCCAAACTATATGATTTACTGTTGGCACCAATGGATACTGCCAATATTACATCAAAGTAATCCACCTCTACTTCACTTCATTCTAATCCTGGTTGATCACTTTTGTGCAGGTTTTTCAAATGTCAGTCAATTAGTCCATCTTGCTTCAGGTGCCTAACAGTTATGATACAGCATTTAATATTAACGTTGCGATATTATTATTTACAGAGAATGATGTTAGCCAGTTCTCCTGCCCGTCCTTCCATGTTGCATCCTCTGTAAATTTGAGGTCATCCAAAACTCTGCTGCCAGTAACATAACCTATGGCAAGTCCCATTCATCTTTCACCCCTGTGCCCTGGACTTACATCGGATCCCAGCCTAGCAACATCCCAACTTTAAAATTCTGTTCAAATACCTCCATTACCTCACTGTAATCTCCTCAAGCCCTCCACCCCTTTGCAACATCTGTGTTTCTCCAATTCAGGCCTCATGCACTTCCAAATTTTTACCGGCTTCACCACTGGCCAGCACACTTTCAGTTGTCAAGGCTCTTCATTGCAGAATTTCCACTCTAAGCCTCTCCACCTTTTGATTATTCCCTCCTCCTTTGTAAAAGATCTGTGAAACCTCCCTCTTTGACTAAGCTGACTCGGTGTCAAATTTTGTTTATTAGTCACTCCTGTGAAGTGCTTTAGGATGTTTTACGAAATAAAAGGTGCTATATTAATAACATTTTTTTTTGTTTTGAGATGTGTTGCACTTCAGAGGGTAAACCAGTAAACCAATCCCACTGAAAATAAAATCTGAAAGAACTGCGGATGCTCTAAATCAGAAACAAAAACAGAAGTTGCTGGAAAAGCTCAGCAGGTCTGGCAGCATCTGTGAAGGGGAAATTAGAGTTAATGTTTCGGGACTGGTGACCCTTCCTCAGAACTGATACCACTATTGTTCCCAGAAAAGATCAAAGATCAAGGGGCTCAGTTTAATCTTGAAGGTGGGGGAATGGGAGTTACAGTGACAGTTGTCAACGATGATGTGGAGGTGCCAATGTTGGACTGGGGTGACAAAGTCAGAAATCACATGATACCAGATTATAGTCCAACAGGTTTATTTGAAAATTCGGACTATAACCTGGTGTCGTGTGATTTCTGACAGTTGGCAATGATTTACTCCTGTACATTTTACCGACTTCTTCCCCACTATACCATCCAATTAAGGCCATCATAGCAACAGTGTACTGTAGGATCAAACATTCCCGTGCAGAAACATTTTTATGTTTGCCTTTGTGAGCAACAACACCAGCTAGCATATTGGAAGAACACAGACAGATGAGAAATGATAATGAGCAACATCAGGGGATTTAGGTCCAATTTAAGAGTTAACACCCGCAAGGTTAAGTTCTGGCTTTGCAACCCGGAGATGGAATGTTGTTCTTGTCTTCATAGAATCATTGTAAGTTGACAAAGTACGTATTTACTGGCAAAGTGATGAACAGGCTTCACTGGAAACGTCATGAAACTTTCTTAAACTGAAAGATATAGAGATGAGAGTGTTTCTTTGTTTTAAAATCTTGTACGCATACTTAGATGTGACCCTCAGCGTAAACATGACACGGTACAACATTGAGATTGCTTATGTTGCTAACATTGTATTAGCTTTTTGTTCTGCAGGTTAGATTTGACATTGCTAATTGTTATTGTATAGATAATTAACCTGCAGACTGATTTCTGACATGCTTAAACTCTGCACGAGATTGGCTGTACTGTATTCTGCCCTAAGCACTGCACCTCGGCAAGGAGGTGGTGGCTTTGGTGTGGGATGCTATGTAAGTTCAGGGCTGTAAGGGTTCAGGACACATTGTAAAATACTTAAACATTTCAAAATTGAGTGACAGATATTTGTTCAGTAAAAGGTATTAAGATTTACAGAACCAAAGCAGGTAAGTGGAGTTCAGATACAGATCAGTCATGATTTAACTTAAATGGTGGAACTGATTTAAAGGATGGAATAGCCTCTTCCTACTCTTATGTTCCTTCCTATACTCGATTTTATCAGTTGTGAATTCTTAACCACGTCCCTCAAAGATTTTAAAACGAGTAATGGACCCAAAGGGCAAAATGACATCCTTCTGTTCCTGGTGAATTTATTTCAGAGATCTGTATACAAATATAATACTTTACAATGACAAATCTAACTTACAAAATTAAAAACTAATACAAACTTAATGACATGAGCAATTTAAGCACTTCTATCATAAAAGTGTTGGTATGATGTTTTGTTGTGGATGATAAATTCTCAGAATCCTTAGCATTCCTACAGTGTGGAAACAGGCCCTTCTGCCCAATGAGTCCACACCGACCCTCCGAAGCACACCCCACACAGATCCACCCCCTATCCCTGTAGCCCTGCATTTCCCATCGATAAACCACCTAACACACACATCCCTGAACACTATGGATAATTTAGCATGGCAAATCCACCTAACTTGTACATCTTTGGGCTGTGGGAGGAAACTGGAACATCCAATGAAAACCGAGGCAGGCACAGGGAGAATGTGCAAATTCTAAGAATGAGAGTGTGAAAATTGCATGTAGAAGCATTGAAATAATGACTGTATTGCAATGTTGGGTATGTGCTTGGGTCTGTGAAGTTTGCAGATATAACTGATAAAACCAGCTTGGGCTTGTCTTTTAATTACTTGCCATTTATTTGTCTGTGCTTCTTTCCATTTCAATGTTACGCAAAGTGTTTGATTTCATCTCTCCTTCGAATCATGGTTTATTTGGAGATTTGATTAATCAAATTACTTTGTTATAATAGAGTTTACAACTCTCAGCTGCCATAAGTTATGAAGACGAGATGAATGAAGTTAGCTTTTGGTGTCGCTTTTTAACAATCAGCATCAATTGAAATTAATTCTCATTGCTTCTACCTCTAGGTTTATTGAAGCAGGTTAAACTGTTCTCATGTTGTTTCTGTTAATGACAAAGCAATCGTTGTCTTCTTGGAAAGTCAACACTTCCAATGTCCCCTCCAAGCCACTGAATATCCTGTCCTAACTATATTGCTGTCAATGGGTCAAAACTTTGGATCTTCCTCCCCAGCAGTACTGCGGTATGCCAAAATCAAAGTACTTCAACAGACTGAGAAGCTTCCGCACCGTAATCTTCTCAGGGGATGACGAAGAAGAAAAGAGGAAGGCCTTGCATTTAAATAACATTTTACACACTAGCAGATGTCTTAAAGTGCTTATAACCAGTAAAACGTTTTTGAAAGTAGTCAGAATTGCAGCAGATATTTAAACACAAACAGCAATATGACAATTACAACATTTAAAAGGCATCTGGATGGGTACGTGAATAGGAAGGGGTTAGAGGGCTATGGGACAAATGGGACTGGATTAATTTAGGATATCTGGTTGGCATGGACGAGTTGGACTGAAGGGTCTGCTACCGTCCTTTACAACTCTATGACTTGATGACAATGACAAGATAATCTATTTTGTTATGGTGTTGATTTGGGGATAAGTATTGACCAAGCGACCAGGGATAGCTTCTCTACTTTTCTTCAAAAAGCTGACATGGGATCCCCAGTCAATCAGGTGGGGCCTCAGTTTAAAGGCCAATCAGAAGCTTGGCACATGCGACGGTGCAACACTACCACCGTCCTGAAGTGGAGTGTCTTTTGTCTTTTGTGCCGAAGCCCAGAAGTAGGACTTGAACTTGAGGTGAGTGTGTTATCAACTGAAATGCTGCTGTCAAATCAGGGGACTTCGAAATGGATAACAAATAGTGGTCTTGAAAGCAATTCCCATACCCTCAAAAGGAATCTCAAAAAATAAATGTACAAGATGCATCTTTGGCAGAATCACCGGAGGTGTCTATGGGGTTTAAGGCACAGGGATGACTAATTTGCTGCAAATTGATGTTGTGAACAATTCAGGGAATGAAAGGGATTCTTCTGCTTAGCTACATATCTAGATTTCTTTACATACGATAAGACAGAAATAAAACCACTTACCACCACAGATGGCTCCTTCACTGTCCTCACACTGTCGGTCATCACATTCACAGTTTTTCCCATAGATACGCCTATCTCCCGGTGGGAAACAAGTGCACTGACCACACTGGCATTTTCCTAAATAGAACAGTCAGTGGGTTAAACTCCTTGACAACACATTAAACATGAATGATTTTTACAGAAGGAGCATTCACTCAGATTTTGCTGGACTTTCCCATTATTGAGGTATAAATCCTCCCTCAAACCATGGTGATTGCTTGTGATCACCACAAGTAATGGATGATTTATCTGCCAGTGACATCACAGAAACTGCATTTCATTCTCAACCTCCCTTGAGTTTCAGGAAAAATGCTGTATTTGCATAAAGACTACCTATTAAACTCGCCACTGAAGGTTTGGGCTGGTAGTTAGCAATATAGGGAGAGCACTCCTTACAATGGCATGTCTCCAATCCAGAAAACAAACAATCAAAAATTATAGAATCTCATTCCTTTGAGTTGTAAATCATTGCTTGAGATTTTAATAATGCTTTATTTTCTCTCTTAATGCAATTGTTCTTTATTTTTCTAACTGTCTTTGATTTGAGTCTACTTCACTTGACGTCCCTGTCCATCGTCATTATCTATTCCCCAAAGCTTGATACTCTGGTAGACTGTTTGTCCCATTGTTCTTGGGAGTTCCAAATACTCTATTGCCTCCGCTGGACTGGCATCAGCTCAGTCATCCAGCTAATCCAATAGGGAATTCAAGAGAAATATTTTTGCCCAAATGTGAGAATGTGGACCTTGCAAGTTGTTGGTGCATCCTGCAAGGCAAGTCTAAGTTGCCAGAATGCACTGTTGGCGCATTGTAGAAATGCCAGGATGGTCATGGCGCGTTGTCAATGTCATTGGAGGAATGCATTCGGCTGGTGCCCACGGATCCAGTTGCCCAATGTCCAATATGGCAAACATTCAGAGCCAATTCCACCCGATACCGATTGTGGTTTCATTGTCAAGTTTTCCCAAAGTCTCTCGAGTTTGGTAAGATAGGAGTTTCAATACAACGCATGCACATTGTTGGCATTGACAAAATGTTTACAAGTGATAATGAGCGTCAGTGGGTATGTTGCTGCTACCAAACAAGAATCTCAGCCACACACTTGTTAAAGTATAACAGACTTGGATTTTGAGATGGGCCTGGCCACACTTATTTCCTGAATCAGCCACGTATCTCATCATAGCCCACGTCACTCAGCCCCCTGTAAGATTCCACCCGTGGAATGGTGAGAACAATACCTAGATGCACAAACAATGACACTCAATAGATACATGAGGGGGAAAGTAATGGAAAGATAGGTGGATAACGTAAGGTGAGATAAAGACTCATATGAAGTGATCGGCGCAGGCTTGGAGGGCCAAAGGGCCTGTTTCTGTGCTGTAATTTTCCTTGTTCTTTAATTTTCTTTGAAGCACAGCCTCCGGCAATTGAAATGACTTTCTCTGATGTCAACATTCACTATATGGCTATGAAATAAATTTGAATGATTGACAATAACAACAACTTGCATTTAAATAATACATTTTTTTTAAAAGAAGACCTGCATTTATATAGATCCTTTCGTGAACCAGAGCATCCCAAAGATCAACAGCCAATGAAATATATTTCTAGTTTAGTTGCAGTTGTAATGTTGGGAATGCAAAAACCAATTTGGATGCAACAGAGTTCTACAAGTAGCAATGTGATAATGACCAGATAATTTGCTTTTTGGTGATGGCTGATTGAGGAATAGTTATTGACTATGACAGCAGAAAAAGTCCTCTATGCTTCTTCAAACAGTGCCATGGGCCTTTTACAATCACCTGAGGTGACAGATGGGGTCTTGGTTTTACAACTCATCCAAAACATGACCCTTCTGACAGTGCAGCACACCATCAACCCTACGTTGCAAGCATGAGCCTAGAGGGCATATCAAAATCTTGGGCCCCAAGACTTGAAACCACAACTTTCTGACTCAGCAGTGAGAGTGCTACACAGGGAACCATGGCTGACACTTAATTGTAGCAAATAGTCCCAAAGTTTAATCAAACACCACACTGAATAAGGAGTTATGGGGCAGACGGCTACAAGTTCTGTCAACAAATAAGTTTTAAGACTCATGTGAAAGGTGGAGAGACATGTAAAGAGCTGGGGAGATTCCTGAAGAGGATGTACGGACCCAGGCAGCTGAAGGCATGATCGATGCTGGTGGAGCGATGAGAATCAGGCATGCAGTTCCCTTTAAAATGGAATTATTTACATTTAGTTTGAAAGTCTCAGGATTGCAATACAAGAAGTGATGTAGCAGGTGTTCACTTGAACTGGAAACAGGGTGAATTGTTCCAATCAGTCAAGGAAGCAGTGATGAAGAAATGAGCAATGCTGTGACCTTGTAACTGTCCTTGGACACTGACATCAATAAAACCCTTGAAAGATGGAATCCTTGATGTGTTGCCTTTGATGTTGAAAGTGAAGTCTGGCTCTCTCTCCCATTTCTTAACACCAACAAAAACTTGCTGTGAACCTGAGACAAATTTATAATTCCAGTGATTTCCCTAGTGCATTGATTCTCTATTAAATCAGTCACCTCACTTATCACAATACCTGTGAGAGTTTAATAGGAATATTCGAAATTCACAAGATACTGTAAATAAGCAGAAATGATTCCCACTGGCAGGACAGTCAATAATCAGAGGAGACCAATTTAAGGTAACCGATGAAAGAACCAGAGGAGAGATGAAGAGGGTTTTTTTTGGGGGCAGTGAAGTGTTGCGATAGGGAACGTACTGCCAAAACGCATAGCGGAGGCAGATTCAACAGCAACTTTCAAACTGGGATTGGAGAGTTCCTTAAAAAGGAAAATAAATTTCAATTCATGGAAAAGAGCCGAGGGAGTGGGACTAATTGGATAAACTCTTTCAAAGACCTGGTGCTGGCATGATGGGCTGAATGGCTTCATTCAGCACTGTTGCATTATCTGAAAACCTCACTACAGAAATGCAAGTTGATGCAACCTCTATATTTACCATCGCTTTGTGAAAGAATTGATGACGTGAACTCAGCGGATAAGACAGAAAGAGTACCAAGGTACCAAGCCTTAAGCATTAAGGCTGTTTTAATTTGAATCTCACTGATATGCTTCCATTAATCAGTTAAATCTTCATTTGTAAGGATGCAAGGTGCTCCGTTACCTGTCTCTACTCTCTGGTAGCCTCATAGAAACATGGGTAAATCATACTGCCCCAAATCTGATCCCCATACCTGATCTTCTACATCAATTACACTTCCACACACTCTCCCTATATTCCTTAGTCCCTCAGTTCCCTACATTAATTGACCTTGGTCTTGAATATACTCCTGACTGTACATCTCCTGATACACTTTTTTTCTGAGTTTTAGATTCTTCAGCTCAGCCTCTTGACATCCACATTGCAAAGTCCTCCCAGTATATTAAAAACTGAAAAAAACTGCTGGTGCCATAAATCAGGAACAAAAACAGAAACCGCTGGAAAAGCTCAGCAGATCTGGCAGCATCTGTGAAGAGAAATCAGAGTTAACGTTTCAGGTTGAGTGACCCTTCCTCAGAACAGATGGAGGCTAGGAAAATGTTGGTTTCCATGCAGAAGATAGGGTGGGGGGAGGGATTAAGGAGTAAACGATAAATGGGGATAGAGCCCAAAGAGAGAGAAGAATAGTTGGACAGACAAAGGAGATCCAGCTAGGAAGTTGAATATCTATTAATGCGGACTGTTAGTGGCTAACAATGGGTTGTGTGTAATAGCAGACTATCTGATAACAAGGGCCTGGTGTGTGGGGGTTGGGGTAAGGACATGGAAGAGCTCCAGCCCTAAAGTTGTTGAACTCACTATTGTGTCCAGAAGGCTGCAGGATCCCCAAGTGGAAAACGTGGTGTGTATTATACATTTCAATGAGATCACCTATTATTCTTTCTCCTAGGTCACGGACGGAACCTTTTCAGCATTACTGCTAATAAATTAAACAGTGATCAATCTCAAGCAAAGGATATACACGCCACATGTTTCTTCAGTAAATTATTTTGCAAACCTTCAGCTTGACTATAATTTTTACCCTGGAACTAGGTAGGAATGTGAGCTAACAAAAACGTAACATGGTCTCTGTGACCTCAGCACAGGGCCAACACATTATCTGCTCGATGATTAAGATTAAGGACTTCAGAAAGAAAGAAAAGGAAATCGGGTAAATTGGAATTGAGAAAGAGAGGGAAAGAAAAATAGAGGATCAAAACATGAACATTTGTAAAAGTTTAACATAAAATTTTAAGAATCTTGATCAGCTACCTGTAGGAGTGAGATTCCAATGTTTAAATTGTTCCCTTTCTGAGCCAGACAGATTGCTTAGTATCGGGTTGACACTTATCAAGATATTCGTCAGGGTCCTTACACTGGTAATTACCAGCCCTAAACTTCTGTAGTGAATTCGATGGTTAGCAATGAGCAAATCTATCAAGTTCTTATAAGTAATGGGGAGTTCAAAAGCATAATGCTGTTGGTATAAAGTAAACAACAGGACAGCATAAATTAACCAGCAAGATCTGGAGACAGCATCTCATGGTGTCTCTCTTTATCCTTTGAACTTGCTAAACAATTTAGGCATTAATAAGAGTGAGTGTTATTAGCATACTGTTATTATTATAAAATTATTTGGTCTATCATTTAACTTTTAGAATATATGCAAATAATCATTATCAGTGTTATTTGCCAACTGAAAACAAGCAAATAGGTCTGGGCAAAACTGATCAAAAAGGTCAGGACATAGGATATCAAATGTTTGCACAGTTTTGAGAATGGCATCCTAACTATTCTGCTTCTCTGTAAAGAAATTAATAGCTTTGCTAAGATAATCAGCACACACTGATTAAGTAGAGCAATTTGGGAATGAATATTGCTGCGACAGAAAATAAGTCATTTTCAGACTCTAACAGAAGGCAATAAATGGCCTAATACAATGATCAGAACTGTATATAAAATTCCAGCTCTGGCCTAACCAATATGTGATACAGTTCCAGCATTACGTCCTTGTTTTTATATTCTATACCTCATCCAATAAAGAAAACATAT